CAACTAGTGGTAGTGGTAGTAAAGGCATGGGATTATATGCCTTTAATCCCAGGAGAGGCGAATCTCTGTGAGTTCACGGCCAGCCTGGTCTACAGAATGAGTTCCAGAACAGCTAAGGTTATATACAGAGGAACCTTGTATGGATGTTTGCCTGCATGTATGTATGTACACCATGTGTGTGCAGTGCCTGCGAGTGACCTGAAGAGGGCACTGGATCTCAAGGAACTGAATTGCCGTGTAGGTACTGGAATCTGGGTCTTCTGTAAGAGTAAGTGTTCTTAACCACTGTGCTATTGCTCCAGACCTGGCCTTGATTCTCAGTCCTGTCGACTAGGTCATTCAGGTGCTGAGATTATAGGTATGAGCCATATTACCATACCTAGGTCTACAGGACCTTAACAAAATACTGTTATTTTCTTTCTATCAGCTTCACAACCATTTTTCACTATCCCCTCAGGTTTTTTTTTACACATTTATTCTAAGGTCCATTATGAATTTTTAATTCCACATATACTCTATATCTTAGTATACATACTAGAATTGAGCTTTATACAATGAGGTTAGAATCACCATGGAAACACACCTGTGGGTGTAGCTGTGAGGGTGTTTCCAGAAGGGTTTAACTGATGAAAAACTCACCCTAATTGTGGGCGAAATCTTCCCATTTAGAAGCTGCAGTCCCAGGCTGAATAAAAAGAAGAAAGTGATGCTGAGAAATGGTGTTCTTCTTCCTCTATTGTTTGTTGCCATTAGATGTAATGTGACCAGCTGCTTCACATTCCTACCTGTGACTTTCCTGCCATGGTTGACAATACCCTCAAACTGTAAGAAAAACAAACAAACAAACAAACAAACAAACCCAAAACCAAAAACCTTCCCTTCATTGAGTTTGCTTTTATCAGGTATTTTGTGATAGCACCAGGAAGAGACCAGGCAGCACAGTTTGTAATAATCTGTTCTGTTAACTAGAGCAAATCCACACATGCACTGAATACAAGAAATGACTACACAGCATACTGGAAAAGACATGTTACCAGAGGGTCAAGAGCAGTGGGAAGTCTGTATTCTGGTTTTAGGTCTGAGCTCAGTCCCCTTAACACCAGGGTAACCCTTAACACTCTTCTCTATAAAATGACTGGCTTCAAGTGGTATTTCTTCAGGCTCTTTGAAACAAACAAACAAAAAAAAAAAAAAGAAAGAAAACTTTCAAAGTAAAAGAATTTAACTCATTTTAATATACTACTGCTTAAGCAATACAGTGCCAAGAATTCTAACCTCAGGGGACTAAGGATGGATATTTATGAAGATTTAGTTGCAAGCATATTCATGATAATTCTATTTGATGGCAACACAAAATCTATAAATAGTCTGCCCAACAATAAGTATATAAGACACAGTAAAGAGTGCTAGAGATGGTGCAGCAGTTAAAAGCATGGGCTGCTCTTACAAAGGACCCTGGTTGGGTTCCTACAGCCAGATAAGTGGTTCACAACCATCTGTAACTCCAGCCCCAGAGACCTGGTGCTCTCTTCTGGCCTCTGCAGGCACTGCATGCACCTGGGGTACTTAGATACATGCAGGCAAAACAGAACTGGACTGCAGGTTGGTGGCTCTGCTGCAATTGCCCTGAGGATGAAGCTGAAATTCTGGTTGGGAATTCTGGGTCTTCTGGGCTAGGTTGCAAGGTTCTTGCTTAGGCTGGGGCTTTGCTGTTTGTCAAGTGACAGTGGATAGAGCGTGCTTGGCCAAAGGAACTAAGGTATGAAACAGCATGAAATACATATAAAACAAATCCTTAAAAAAAAAAAGACATTAGAGATGGGCAATGTAAGTTCTTGACAACCAGTTGACAACTGCTGGCTAAAAGAGAATCATTCCTTTTTGAGATTGCTCTCACTGGTAGCTTTCCCACCTTCCACTGGATAGCCACACATCCATGCACACATGGAAAGCACTAGTGGGACATGTATGTGTGTATCATGACATATATATCACATCATATATATGTATGACATGAAGTTGGGTGAGTACATGTTAACAGATGATGCAAGAGATGTTAGAGGGACATATGCTGAGTGGATTGTGATCATATTACATGTATTTATGAAATTCTCAAGAATATAGGTTTCAATTAAAAATTTGTTGCCATTAAAATTGATATCACGTATGCATATTTTGTGTATAAAACTATAAAATGTCTCTATAATAAATAATGGTATAGTGTTGAGAAATTTTGTTCTTAAAAATCATGGGTGTAAAAAAGCTTGGCTTGGAATACCACTTTTGTAGGACCCAAGCTACAAGGTTTGCTTGGTTTGAGAGGGGATTATATGAATAATGTCCCCTGTGGGTATATTTGGGAAAGTTATAGAACTTTAGATTGTAGAGCCTTGTTAAAAGAAGAAAGCTATTGGGTTGGGTTATGAGGGTTAGAATCATTCCAAGTGCAGTTTCTTCTCTATGCTTCTCGCTTGTGGTTGAAGATGTGATCTCTCTGTTTCCTGTCAATCAAAATGTGAGCCATCATTTTCCTGCTGCCATGCCTTCCTGGCCTTATAGACCCTAACCCTCTTGAACAATTAGACAAAATAAATTCTTTCAAATTTGTCATAATCAGTCATAGTATTTTATGCCAGCAATAAAAATTAAGTGTTTGGGGTTTTGTTTGTTTGAAATGGGGCTTGGCTATTGGGTCCAGACTAGCCCAGAATTCTGAATGGTCCTACCCCAGTCTCTTGACCACTGAAAAGCACAAGCATGTAATGCCATAGCCAGGAATGAGTGACTTTAAAAAATTGCTTGAATGGCTTCTTCTTTGAAGTAGTTGACAAGCCCTAAAACAAAATATATAAAGTATATAACTTGAAGCTTTGGAAGACATATATACCTCTGAAACTATCATAATAAAGAACATACTCACCTCTCTCAAATTTTCTCCTATCTCTTTTTAATACCTTCCTCACACTTCCTTGTCCTACCCCATGTCCCTAAGTAACCACTGATTTGCTGTCACTGTAGATCAGTTTTCATTTTCTAATTATACCCAAATGGAATCATACACTATGTGCTTTTTGGCTGGCTTCTTTCTCTCAGCATTTGTTGATACAGTCATACTGCGGTAGGAGTTAGAGTTCATTCCTTTTTATTTATGAGGGACAGTCCCTTGAACAGGTTACTCTCAGAAAAAGTACCCATTTCCAACCAGAACTTCTCATAAAGGATTTTGGGCACATTTTACATTTTTGTCATTCTCAAGGAATTAGGACTCTGTCTCCTTAGATCAGTTAATATTTCATCACATGCAGTTTTATTTTGCCTCGATTCTCTCAAAGCATTGCTTCATTTAAAGTTTAATCTAACCATTGTGCTGTTGCAATGAGGAAGCCTAACTCTCTGGAAGTACAATTATATTCTTACAAGTTTTTGTTAACTGTCCTGAATGCTCACAGCTACACTGAATGCAAACCAGTAGGGTGGGACCCCACTTTTTTGTTTTTAAAATATAAATGCATGCTGAAATAAAGATACATTTCAGTGGGAGACTGCTTTCCTCTCCTGCTTAATGCTCTGGGTTCAATCCCTAGCATAACCACAAAAAATAAAGTGCATGTACATGTACGTACACAGAGAAGGAGAGAGGGAGATATGATAATAAGTACGACTCTGATTCCAAATACAGAAAAAAAAAAGACAATACGATCTTACTAAATCACATTTATTTGCTAGATTGTCAAAGGGACTAGCATGCCCACCTACAATTATTGAAATCATTTAATTCATAAATCCACAGGTAATAATCTAGAATGATCAGTAGAACTTCTTAGGAAAACCATGATCCTTTGTGTCTGGAACCAACATACATAGGTGGGGTTATAAATCCTATTCCAAAAGTATGAACAGAATTTGTTAATTTTTATAGTTCATGTAGATCCCATTCTAATGTTCTGGTCTTTATAATTTAGTCCTTAATTATTAGTCTGCATAAAGCTTAACAAGGGTAGTTTATTACTTACAAACCTCTGTTCCACCCATTAATCAAAATACTCATTACAACACTGAAGTAGGTCAAAATACGTTAATAGGCTTTTAGTTTCTATTTACTTCAGTTGCTTATATGCTAATTATCATTTAATGATAGACACTGTTTCCTTATAGCAAAATCAAAATATAAACAAGAAGGTAGTCCCTAAGCATTTTTATAATTAAGAACTGAAGAAGCACCTCATTTATTTATTTTTGGTGCTGGTAATCGATGCCAGAGCCTGGCATATGCTTAGCAAGCATGCTCTATTGCTGAGTGACATTCCCCAGCCCACCTAGTTTCCTTCTAAAGCTACGTTCGACTGTTGGGCAACACATCCATTCAAAGATTGCAACTCTTTTTGGGTTGTATAAAAGCTTAAAATAATACGCCACAAGGAAGCTTCCTTAAATACAACCTAATGTGCTTCCTCTCAATATTCCCTATTAAGGCTACAAATTAGCAGGAAAATAATAGTGCCGCCCACGGGCTTGCCGAAAGGCGACTTTTTAATTCTGGAGCCTGACAACAGACAGCAGGAGTGAATGAGCAAACAGACGCAAACGTTGGCAAATGTTAATATGCTAGTCGGCCCCGAAGAAATAATTGTGGATTGTACACGCGCCCGCGGCCTCAGACGCCACGGAGTCCCCTCATGGAAGCATCCACCTGACCCGTGACCTCGGGAGAAAACGCCGACCCACTGCAGCAGCGCGGCAGGACAGAGCCGAAAGCTGCTCCTCAGGCTCTGGATTTGACCGTCTCGCCCCCGCGCACGCCTTACAACCGGGGCCTCCCCGCACCCAGGGCGCCCGGCCCGCAGGACTTCCGCAGCCAGGCTTCCACCTCCCGCCCCCCACGCTCCCAGGCGCCACTCGCCGCCAGCCGCACGCCGCGCAGGCGGACCCCCGCCGCCCGAGCCCGCCGGGCCCGCCCCGCGCCCATGCCCCGCCCCCCGCGCCCACGTGACCCGGGCCGGCCTCCGCGCGCGGCGTGGATCGCGGCCGGAGCCGCCATTGTTCCGCCGGGGGAGGACGGCGGGGCCTGGTGCTGGCGCCCCGACGCCGCTTAGCGGCCGCCTCTGGAGACACTTTGCCCCTGCCGCCCCGCGTCCTCCTGGCGGCGGCGGCGTGAGGCCGGCTGCGGGGACTGGGAGCCCTCGGCCCTCCCCGCGGCGGCGGAGGCTGCCCGTCTCCCGCCCCGGCGTGCGGGGTGGCCGCGATGCGCTCGGCCTGAGGCGCCGCGGCCCTCGTCGCCTCCTACGACTCCTCCGGCGGCGTCCGTGCGCCCCGGCGTCATCCCGCGAGTCTTTCTGACGGGAGGGAAGATGGCTGCGTGGAGCTGGCAGGACGAGCTGGCCCAGCAGGCCGAGGAGGGCTCTGCCCGGCTGCGGGAGCTGCTCTCGGTCGGCTTGGGTTTCCTGCGCACCGAGCTGGGCCTCGACCTGGGACTGGAGCCCAAGCGGTACCCGGGCTGGGTGATCCTGGTGGGCACCGGCGCCCTCGGGCTGCTGCTGCTCTTCCTGCTGGGCTACGGCTGGGCCGCGGCTTGCGCCGGCGCCCGCAAGAAGCGGAGGAGCCCGCCCCGCAAGCGGGAGGAGGCGGCCGCGCCGGCCCCGGCCCCGGAGGACCCAGCCCAGCTGAAGAATCTCAGAAACGACGAGCAGAAGAAGAAGAACCGGAAGAAGCTGCCTGAAAAGCCCAAAGTGAGTAGCGGCGAGAAGCCCAGGACGAGGGAGTAGGGGAAAGTCGGGAACTGTAAGAACCTGTAGGAAAGTCGGGTTTCCTGCGTGGAAATTAACTCTAGGTGTAAGTATAAATAGAAGTGTCCAAGCTTACAGTCATCATCTGGGAAACCTTGGCCCCCCCAACGGCATGCCCTTCCTAGAGGCCTATGGAAGTAGGCTGCATGTGGAGGTTAATGGGACCTTACAGTGACGTTGGGAAGTTGTGGAAAGACTGCCTGGAAGAGAGATGTTTATCTCAATTCACTTTGAGACCTGAGACCGTCCCTAGTGTAGAATATACGGTGACCTAAAAACTCTGGCTTAATTAGAATTAAAGGTGCCCAGATCTAGACATACTTCCATCTTAGTTGGAAATGTTAAAGGGAAATGGTTGCCCTGTCTTGGCCTGGTGAATGTGGTCATGGGGGGCTGCCTCTCTAATATTCCTTCGGGATATATGGCTCCCTGAGCAAAAGGTAAGGTGAGTTCAGCGAAGTACACTATATAGTATGGTGTAGAAGGTTTTTTGTTTGTTTGTTTTGTTTTTTGTTTTTAAATAAAGTAAAAAGGAATGACAGGTTGGAATGTTGAAGCTTGAGAAAAGGTTTCAAGCTGCAGTTTGCACATGTGGAAATGCAAAAGGCATTTCATTTTTTTTTTTTTAAATCAGGCCTTAGTGTTTTACATCTGTATTCTGTTACCATTTCTCCGTGTGTATGTGTGTGTATATATATATATATACATATTTATTTATTTATTTATTTATTTATTTATTTATTTGTGCAATATGAATGTTGGAGAGATCTTGTGCCATGGCACACATGCGGAAGTCAGAGAAGAACTTGTTGGAGTGGGTTCTCTTCTTCCACCACGTGGATCTTGATGGTTGAACTCAAATAGTCAGGCTTGATGGCAAGTGCCTTTACTCACTGAACTATTTTACTAGCCTGCTTTACGTATTTTATGTAGCATGAAAGATATGCAACATTAGAAATCTCTATTTCCCAGGTATGGGCGGTATGCACGTGCACTAGGGAGTTAGGGGCAGACAGATCTCTGAGTTTGAGGCCAGCCTGGTCTATATAGTGAGTTTAAGGACAGCCAGGGCTACATAGAGAAATCCTGTCCCCAAAAGCAAATACTTCCTATTTGTATATCATCTGAATGTGATTCTTCACCTTTTCAGAACAATTCATAAGCCAGTACCAGGTTCTTACTATATGTTTGATGGGTGGTGAAAGGTGTCAACATAGGAATTAAAGTCAATCATGGCAGCTGTGTGGGAGACAGATTCATAAATATGTTAATGGACCCATAAGTGCAAAATAGAGGTATGGATACAGTGTTGGTGTGATTTGGAGGGTGGGGACTAAATCCAGTTTGAGAAACTTAAGAATGTTATTTCAGGAGGCTGGGATTCTCATCAAAAAAGAATATTGTTAGTAACAGTACTAAAAAGAAGGCTGACAGCTTGTGTCATAGGGATTCATGTTTTGCTTGCTAAGTAGAAAGATATAAGATAGGAAACCTAGAAAACTTTACGTGTAAATACTTCCTTAAGTTAGGAGAAGAGAAAACAGAATTTCACTTAAAACATGTATAATTAGCCAGTCCTGATGAGACCTAGCTAGCGTCAGATGGAAGAGGAGGAGGACCTCCCCTATTAGAGACTTAGAGAGGGGCTTGGGAGAAGAGGGAGGATGGGTGGGATTGGTAGGGAATGAGGGAGTGGGTTACAGTTGGGATACAAAGTGAATAAACTGTAATTAATATAAAAATAAAATAAAATAAACATGTATAATTAGAAGTTCTGTAGACAGCCAAGCATGGTGGTACACACCTTTAATCCCAGCACTCAGGGAGGCAGAGACAGGCAGATTGCTGTGATTTCGAAGCCAGCCTAGTCTACAAAGTGAGTCCAGGACAGCCGGGACTACACAGAGAAACTCTTGTCTCCAAAAGCCAAAAAAAGAAAGAAAAAAAAAAGTTCTGTAAACAGCAGGAAGGGTTAAGTAATGTTGGCTTCATAGTAATGGTGATCTTGAAACAAACCACATACGTTAATACTAAGGCCTGTGTGGATTGTGGCAGATTGTGATAATTATTTCAGAGCCTCTTTAGAACGTTTAGAATTTCACATGGACTTGAGGAGACGGTGCTGCAAGAGTCAATTTGAAATGCATCATGACATCAGATGAAAGACCACACTTCACTATGAAAAATGTACATCAGGCTTAGGATTTGGCTGCTCCTCCTTTTTTATGTTGAGGAAGGGGAAATGGGTAATAAGTCGACTGAGATCTTTGAGGAACTGGAATTGAGACTGGACCATTGAATGTGAATCGGGTGAAAAAGTAACTGCCAAATAAGAAGAATGTATTAGAGAAGTTATGGTCCTAAAACTTTTGACTGCAACTCAGAAATATATTTTATATTCCAACACAGCCATAAACTTGTTTTTCTTTAATGCAGTTTGTGAACACAGAATTGTTTCTCATTTGATTATAAGGCCTGAGAACACACACACAGACACAGACAGTTAGAAAAATATTGCTTTCCAGGGCTAAGTATAAACTTCATTATTTCCTGTTCATTTTATTCCTTGTACTGTGCTGCATTTTTACTTAGGGGAGAAAACAAACAGGTTGAAAGCAAGAAAGGGAGTTGCTTTATGTCTTACTATGAAGGGGACAAGTAAAGACATCAGTGCCTTCCCCAGGGAGCTTTATGCCAATTACAGAAGATGTCTGTACACAGTCCACCCTCCAGGTGTGCCCTGCTTCATGGGTTAAACCAACTAAGGATCGGCAATTTATTTTTAGTGGCTGGTGATGTTGCTAAGTTGGTAGAGTGCTCACTTGGCTGGCATAAATCCCTGGGTTTGATGATCAGCACTGCATAAACTGGGGTCTTGTCCTGTGCCTATAGTTCCAACATAGGGGACAGGAGAATTAGACTTTCAGGGTCATTCCATACGACTTAAGAAGCTTGATGCCATTCTGAGATACATGAGATCCTTGTCCCCCAAAGCAATGGTTTTTAAAAACTGCAACTGTTCTGAATTAGGTACAGACCTTTTCCTTGTCATTATTCACTAACCTATACTGCATAACAAATGCATATTTACTTAGGACTACGTAATTGATCTAAAAATGATTTCAAGTGTATGGGAATATGTGTAGGTGACATATCAATGTTTTGTTTTATTTTATAAGGTACTTGTCATCTGTACATTTTGGATTCTTGAGAGTTCCGGAATCCCTCTACAATGGATGCTGAGGGGCTTTACTAAAAACATTAACAATATATAGCCCACTGTGGCCCCAGGGGAGACCAACCTAATCTGTTTGGCTTTTTAGTGTGTCTAAATTGAAGATCTTAGTTAAAACACTGAAGTTAAATCCCTTCCTGGGTATTTTCAGTAGAGTCTGTTTAATGCCCCTTAAAATTTGTAGATTCCTGAGCTGTATATATCAGACTTTTAAAGTTCAAACTTTTTAGAACTGGATCTGAAGAATTACTTTCTTGTACCTGACTATTACCCAAGCTGAACTTGAACTCCCTAGCTCAAGTGGTCCTCTTAATTTCAGCCCTGAGTTTTTGACACTACAGGTGTGCACCACCGCGTGGCTTTTTTAATTTGTATTCATAACAAGCTGATTACTTTGAAAACCACTTCCTGGAATGGAGCCATAAAGTCTATACTATAAGAACTTTTATTTTTTGTTTGTATGTATGTTTTACATATAAAGTCCCGACTGTGTTTTGGCTGTCCTGGAGCTCACCATGTAGACCAGGTGGTTGGCTTCGAATTCACAGAGATCCACCTGCTTCTATCTCTGGAATGCTAGGATTAAAAGTATGTACCACTATGCCCAGCTGACCTTTTTTCCTAAGCTAGTCGAGTGGCTTATGATTGTGATTTCAGCACTGAGGCTGGAGAATTACTGTGAAGTTAAGGCTAGCCTGGGCTACGTATTGAGGTTCAAACCATTTTGGACTATGGTGTGAAACAAAAAACTAAATAAAGACCTTTCTAGTCAGGCAGTGATGGTGCACCTGTAACCCTAAGACTCAAGCAGAGGCAGGAGGATTTTGAATTTGAGGTCAGCCACAGCTATACAGTAAGACTCTGCCCCCCCCCCATTTTTTTTAGTTGAGTCACTTATTCAGGTGGATTTGGTGATATAAACTATAGTTTCTTTGAGTGAACATTCTATATTGTAGGATATTTTGCCTACATATAAATTTTATTTCATTAGTTTTTTTTTTCCTTAAATCATGCAACCTCTATTTTCAAAATGTGTTATGTGTGTGGTATGTTTATCTGTGTAAACCTGTACATGTATGTACATGTTTGGGTGTAGAAGACAATATCAATGTTGGATGTCTTCCACAAATCCATCTCCTTTCTTTCTGTCTTAAACAATTTATTATGTGTTTGAGTGTTTTGCCTGCACCACATGTGTGCCTGGTGTCCATTGAGGCAAAAGAGGGCATTGGATCCCTTGGAAGTGGAGTTACAGATGGTTGTGAGTACCATACTGGGAATTGAACCTCTGGCAGAGCAGCAAGTGCTTCTTAAGCCCCCAACCCCCTTTTTTTCTTAATAAATTAATGTTTTAATTTTTAAACATATTCCTTGACCTCCCCAACCTTCCAGATCCTACCCCCACTCAACCCATCCAACTTTCATTTTCTACACTCTCAAAAAAAAAAAAAAAAAAATCAAGATGTGCTTAAAAAAAAAAAAAAGATTGTTTTGTGCTGGCCAACTACTCCTGGGCATGGGATGTACCCTGGAAGGTGGTTGATAGACCTAATAACATTGGAGAAAATTCTTCTTTTCACTTTTTTTGTTTTTTGATGTGTGGCAGGGTTGCTATTGTTTGGGTTTGGGTTTTGGAGACAGGGTTTCTTGGTGTAGCTCTGGCCATCCTGAAACTCACTCTGTAGACCAGGCTGACCTCCATGCCTCC